ATCTGTTTGAGTGATATTTTGAGTTTTGGTGCTTGTACTGACAAGAAATTACCCGCAGAGATCAGAGGTATATCTCAGTGTTCATCAGGAATCTCTGTAATCTGCCAAAGAAACATCTTGGCTGGACAACATTGATGTCTTTCATCAGTGGGGTAGAATTGTGGGTGTAGAACTGGGGATGTTTGAAGCATCAGTTGAATGCAAGGTGGAATTCTGTCTTTGTCCATATATTGTGACACACTGTATCACAATGGGAATCTTAATAGGCACTTAAAACCAGCATTCCAGAAAAATGGAATATCAGACCAATCGCTCTCATTGTCTGTTTAATTTGGCAATAATGAAGTACTACTAAACATTTTTGCTTTCCTAGCTGGGAAGCTTTGGAAAATCACCACAGATTAGTCAGGATTCCATGGGAGAGAGAAACAGAGTTAATGTTTCTGGTCAATAAATTTTCATCAGAATCCTACATCCAACTCTAGTCATGTTTAAATTGGTTTTGTAGTAAAACAAGCTCATCTACAGATGGATTGATTATATGTAAGAGATAGAATACAACTTTAGCCACAGAACTAGTCATTTCTACAAATAAAAAGAAATAAAACTGCTTTTTTTTTGCAGTCTTTCTTCTGAATCAGTTGGTTAGTATTCATTTAGGGCAGGGAGTTTATGCTGGTATTAGCATTGGGATTTCATATTAGCTGGCATGTGAATGTATTATTAAGTCCTAATAAGCATTACCACATCAATTAAACTGAACTAGGTCACCTGAGGATTGCCTCAGTCTCTCACTGCAACGTTAGAGTAAGATCAGCAAACACCCAGAGAAATGAGGTATATATCTCTTCGCATCATTTCTCCAGGATTTTGTTATAGGTTTCATGCAAACCCGAGAGAACGTTTCCTATGAGTCATGCTCTGTGAGATCGATGAGGATAATTGAGTAAGATTTTGAAGGAGGCCGGCATATACTGCAGTTCCTTCTCTATGCACTAAACCCGTAGAGTGGCAAATGAATTTGGGGAATGAAGTTTTTTTTTCTAAATGAGTGCTCTTTCCTCTCTTTAAAAATCACCTGTCAGGTTTAGGGATTTTATTTCTCAATGTAGTCAAAAGCCTGAATCTTAAGTGCTGTAGTCCCTTGACAAACCGTTTATGTTTGATTTGCAATTGCAGTTCATTATATGAATTAAAGGAAATACTGCTTATAAAAAAATGCCCTTGTCCATTGAAGCCAGGTAATTATCCTTATTTCATGAATGAGTTAGTTTCATAACAGAACCCCTATGTATTTCTCTATCTGAACACATCTGAACACACTGCGATATTGAGTGGTCCTGTGCACCTACAGCTTCAAAGTAGGGATGATCAGGGATGGAGAGTTCTCATCAAGAATCCTGGCAATTCTCAAATCCCCACAGGCTATGGCATTTTAAATCCTAACTTGGCAACTTTGTTTTTAAAGAAATGAGATGCTAACCTGGATGCCAGTCTAAATGACAAGCACAGCTCTCTTGGATGGGGAGTACTCCAGAGGGCGATATAGGCACAGAAGCAGATAGGGAGCCTTTTGCTACATCTATGGAAACACAGAGGGAAAACCTAATTCCCAACCCGGAAAAGGCAAGTCACTCCCCCTTCCCTAGAAGCACCAGTCACAGGTGAGGCATTCATTTTGGTGTTGGAGGTATGCAGTGAATCTTTCAGATCCTGATTGGAGGCAGCAACAGTGGTCCGCTGGCAGAACAAGGTAAATTTTGGGAATCAAAGGCAAAGAACTCCTGTTTCTCTTGATCTACAAGTGTCGGCAAAGCGATGAGCTTTCCCACAAAACTGTCCTTTGCCTAGCTGCAGCTGCCACGTTTGCCAAAGCCAGGGAAGCCCAGATGGCCAGTGTAAAAGCAAAAAAGAAAGGTTAACTCTAAGGAAGGCAGTCTCAGTATTTCAAAGGCTAACCCACTCTGCCCACTCTGCCCCCATTGCCTTTACTCAATTTGGAAGTGCAGTGGAGCTGGGTTTGAGATTTTTAATTTTTTCACATCTAACCTAATTCTGGCCTCCTGTGTTGAGTAAAATTGCCCTATTAAACTTTCCAACAATTAACATTGCCACCATCAATCATCTATTTTAAAATAATTGTTGGGTTAGTATGGTATGACAGCTCTGTAATAATGAATGACATGTCCAGCAGTAAACTGCAGCTTGTTGTAACGTTAGTATTGCTTTTCTCCTTTCCATACATTCATCTACCTCATCAGGTGAAATATAGACATCAGTAGTAGCGCGTGACAAACACTGAGGCAACATGGTCTTCTCTGACAATATTCTGGTCGCAACATTAAACAATAGAGATGTCACCATTTCTTTCTGCCATTGGGTGACTGAATAACTGAGCCCATTGAGCATATTTCCAAGCGAATCACTCATTATTTCCTCGAGTCATCAAGCAAGTCTCTCGAAATAAAATAGTGTCTTGAAACGAGACCTTCACTTTCATATCAATTTCACTTTATTGTCGTCTCAGAAATTTCAGTGGAGCATCGGAATTAGGAGCAGGAGTAGGCAACTCAGCACTTCCAATCCGCTCTGCCATTTAGTATGATTATGGCTGATCTTATCCTGGTCTCAGTTCCACTTTGCTGCCTGTTCCGCATTGCCCTTTATCCCGCTTTTCATCAGAAACTATCTATTTCTTTCTTGGATCTTTCGATTGATCCTGCCTCACAGATTCTCGACCCTCTAAGAAAAGTAGTTTCTCCTCATCGCAGTTTTGAATCTAGTTCTTCTCAATCTTTATCTGTGCCCTCTTGTTCAAGACTGTCCCACAAGGGGGAGCATCTGTTCAACGTCCACCTGATCAATCCCCTTTGGCATTTTATGTACCTCAGTCGGATTCCCCCTCATACTTCTGAACTCCAGCGAGTTCAAGCTCAAGCTGTTCAACTGCTCCTCGTACGACAGCCCATTCATCCCTAGAATCCCTGGTGAATTTCCTCTGAACTGCTCCAGTGCCACCACATCTTTCTTCAAGTAAGGAGACCGAAACTGGACACAATATTCCAGGTGTGGTCTCACCGATGCCTTATATAATTGTAACAACACTTCTTTATTTTTATAATCCAATCCTCTTGCAATAAATGCCAGGATTCCATTTGCCCTTCTTATTATATGATGCACCTGCAAACCCACTGTCTGCAATCCATGTTCAAAGACACCCAGATCCCTCTGCACTGACACATCTTGAACTGCTTCCTATTTTAATAATAATTTCCCCTTTTATGTTTCCAACCAAAATGGATAATCTTGCATTTACCCACATTAAACTCCATCTGCCAGATTCTGGCCCATTCTCCTCGCCTATCAATATCAATCTGTAAACTCTTTATCTCCTCATCACTACCTCATACTGTTTTAGTATCATCTGCTAACTTTGCTATGTTATACTCTGTCCCTGCTTGCAGATCATTTATATAAATTGTAAATAGTTGAGGTGTGAGAACTGAATCCTGCGGCTCCCCACTAGTTACAGTTCGCCATCTAGAGAAGGATGCGTTTATCCCAGCCCTCTGCTTCCTATCAGCCAGCCGATCCTCTACCGAAGCTGATACTCTACCCTTACCTCCTGTGATCTAACTTTCTGAATTGGTCTTTTATGTGGCATCTTGTCAAATGCTTCTGGAAGCCTAGATATACTGCATCCATTGGATCCCCATTATCTACCTTGCTGGTTACATCTTCAAAGAACTGTAGCAAGTTTGCCAAGCATGATTTGCCCTTAATGAAACCGTGCTGACACTGGTGAAGTACATAGTAAGTGCATTGCTCAGTTGTTAAAAATATTACACGTAAGTAACAACAATAGAGAAAAATGTTACTTGTTCATAGAAACTTTAATTAAAATATATATTAAATCTATTCTGTTGTAATGAGAGTAATCAGTCAGCGATTGTAAGTACATATGATAAGTACATATCCTCATCCACACATCAGCTCCAGTTAAAGATTGCAATAGAGAAGAGCAAAGATGAGTTCAGGAATCAGTTTAGTCCTGCATCTGAACAATTTCACACTCATTGCTGCTAAGATAGCTAGGGACCCTAGAACCTGCCATGTGAAATAAATTTGATGATTCCAAACCACCTCAAATATTGGGCTTTATCAAAATTAGTTGAATGGTGACCAACTTTGTAATATCAATGCAGCGAAGAATGTGAAACCTGAATGTTGCAGCTTGGACAAAGTGTCTGTTCCATTTTCAGTGATAGGCCTGTAGGTATAAAATGGCCAATGTCTGACTTGTCTAGATAATTAAACTATATGCACGTAGACCAAGCAGTTGGCTGGTAAAAGCATCTAAAGCTGTGAACTTGATGGGAGCAGTTTTTTTTAAAGAAATGAAAGATCACTCACTTCAACTGGCAGTGCAGCTCCTTTTTTCATCTTGCAAGTCAAAACCTCGACTCCAAAGTGCAGAGCAGCCAAAACACCATTTGTTTCATCATTGTTCTCAAAGGATGTCTTGTAATGTAGTGGGTAACATCCCTGCGTCTGAGCCAGGAGTCTGGGTTCAATTCCCACTTTTGGGCTTGATGGTCTAGGAAGCTTCATTCGCAATGTGATCAAATGGATTGAATATCAACCTGCAAATCCTTCTAATGCATGCCAGTGGCAAGTGGTAAAATGTGGTGAAACTAAATCTGGATCCTCCAGCATCATTATCCACCTGTATCATGCATGTAATAGTGTAAGTTGCTTCAGTCAGTCAGATTCTTTTGCAGAGGACTAAATGGCTAACGCGGATCAGAATGATGCCTACAGCACTGGGTTGAATCTCCTATCTGATTGGGATGGATTCTGCCTTCTTGCCTTACCCATGGTGAAAGCCTTGGTGTTGTGGGCCAGAGATGCCTTCAGGCAGAGTACTCAAGATGAAGAAATATTCTGAGATTTTCAAAGGAACAAGTAATCACGAGACTTTTACCTTTTCACATTGACAGGTGGCTGAGCAGGCTGGGCTTAGCAACAGTGGGATATGCAGAAAAAGAGCAGCGACTCAAACAAGATCAAGGTACTGATGTCACCATGCAAAGTAACTTTATACTAAATTGCAATGAACCTTCCAACATCAATTAATATTACCACTACAATGTCATGCATGAAATCTAACGTTCACCTATCACTCCTGTGCTAATGCAGCATCTCAGTTTTAAAATTCTCATCCTTGTTTACAAATTCCTCCATAGCCTCACTATTCTCTATCTTTGCAACCTTCTACAGCCCCAGTCCCTCTGAGATCTCAGGACTCCTGTATTGCTGGTACCTTGCTTATCCCCAATTTTAAGTGCTCTGCCTTTGTTGGTTATGCCTTCAGCGGTTAAGGTCCTAAGGAATTCCTTCCCTGCATCTCTCTCCCTCTTTTTCCTCCTTTGGGACCCTTCTTCAAACCAACTTCATTGAATCTAAGCTGTTGGTCATCTATCCTAATATCTCTTCATGTGTCTCAATGCAAAATTTTTTTTGATAACACAAGTATGAAGCACCTTGGGATGCTTTGCTAAATTAAAGGTGCTACATATATGCAGATTATTGGTCCAAGAATACTGGGAGAATCGGATTGCTCATTTGTTTTGCACTCTGTTCAGTCTTAATTTTTAACTTCTGAAAATAAAATTGGGCAGGTTAATAAAAGGGTTTCAGATTTCCCTTTTTGGTTTTCTTTGTCAGATGGTTTAGGTTAAACTTAGCCTTTTATGTCTTTACTCAAGCATTATGGCATTACATTCCAGTGTGAGTTGAATGTCTAATCTTTTGCATTAAAAAAGGTGAATTCTAACTTTGAATAATGAAAATTTGACGGGAGAGGAAGGTAACTATGAGAATGATGCAGCACATGACTTCTGAGAAATGTTAAAATAACTGAAAACTAAGGTTTGCCTCAAAAGCTTGTTCTGAAACAAACGCTAATATTTCCAAAATGAGTGTATACATTTTTAGAAAAAGTTCATGAAAACTGCATAGAGCACTAGACTTCTGAAGAACAATTGATTTTCTGCATTTGTGTAAATGTAAACTTTAATACATATAAAATAAGTTACAATATATTCAAAGCTTCAATTATGTTGAAATCTGGTGCCATAATTTAGTTTACTCAAATCAGCAATGACAGATAGGAGTCAATTTAGCCATTTAGATGCTGCATCCGCATATTCTAATGTCTTTATGAGAAAATTTGGATTTTTTTTGCATGCCACTATTGTTCTTTGGGTTGGCATAAAGATATTCTGTACAAAAATACTGTTGGAAGATGACCAGGGAAAATGGTGATGGAAGAAGAATCATTTTTTGATCTCTATTTGCCTAAAGATATTGACACTGACATAACATTCGAACCCGATGAGAATTTCAAAGTCGTATAACTTTGACATATGTAATTCACCTTCTATATGGTTCTCTTTTGTCAGTCTTGTTAATCTGAAGTTACGGGCGTGATTTTAACAGGGGCAGGTTTGATAATCAGGGTAGTCATAGTGTGAAACCTTGTTTTCACCGAATGCCAATCCAAAGGTCAGCCTCATTGACAGGTTTGGCTTCCTGTGGGTCAAGCATTGCTCAAGAGTTGGTTACCCATCTCTGTTCAGCCCAGAAATAAATGGGTCAGGGTGAACGTTGACGTTTTGAAATTTTTCACGCTCCATCTATACCCTGCCCCATTTTTGGGGGCTGAAAATTCCCCTCTAAGTCTTCAAACACTAGGACAAGCAGAATGCTTTTGGAATTCTTCAACAGCATGTGGAGTGTGATAAAGACTGAAGATAAAGATAAATATCAAAATTGCTGTCCGTGCCTTCAGTTTTGAGGCCATTTTATGGGTTTTGGGAGGAGCAGAAACATGGATTCAAAAGGGTGTCGTGGGAGTCATGGGCATAAATTTTGGAGGCCAAAACAAATTTAAGAGGTTTGGACTAAAAAGGGAGGTTGGAATTGTGATGGTCGTCAGTGGCTCAGAGAATTCCTAAAAATCTTATGTGTTACATCTAAGCAAAATGGTGAAGTAAGTAAATTCATGACTTAATTGGACTTGCATTGGACATGAGTACGTTGAGGAGTACCAGACTCAATACGCTGATATCACTACATCGAGCCACACAGTTTCAGCTGCCACATACAGCACATGGTAAAGCCTATCTGCAGCTGAGTTAATGCCAGCAGTGGTACGATGAGATCCTTAAGTGACCACTTAAGGGCTTCAATTGGTGGCAGGTCAGGAAGGTTGACCATGGACCTTCCCCGCTCAGGACATAATTTTGCTGAAGGTGGGAAAAAGTGGTGGTGTTGAGGTCTGCCACCACCCCACCTAAACAAATGACCTTCCAAACACCCACTCACTCTCAAAGCTATCACCGTCAGCAGCAGAGGATTCTGCCCCAGGAAGCTTATAGCAATATTTGTGGAAAGTCAAACCCAGTTTACATTTCAGATAAGCGATCTTTATGCAGAACTGATAAAAGTCCAGATATGTCGTAGATATGAAAAAGGTGCAAGGGGTTTAGGTGAGAAAGAGACCAAAAGGGAAGATCTGTGACAGGGAGCAAGCCAGGAAAGATTAAAAGACAAAGCGTGGTGCAGGGACAAAGTGAGTGGTAAGGAGTAAAAAAAAAAGTGTGTCTGTAATATGTGAATGAGCATCTGCCATTGAAAAGCAAGTAAAAACAAAACTAATAAGGAAAAGGCCATTTTACTCTTCTGTGAACACAAGCAAGAACATTTAAGCCTATAAATGACACCAGTCAGTTTGACTGAAAGCATCATGAATAACCTAATCTGACTCAATGACCTATTCAGTTATCCAAGAAATATTAAGACAGATTAAAACTACGTCTACTGGATAGCTATACAACTAAAACCTGCTCCCCACTGATTCCCCACTCCTCCAAACTCCTGATCCTCTGACTCCTCTCCTCCCTCAAACCCTATGATTACCATTCGCTATCCACCCTCCAACCATCCCTGCCCCCTGGCTTCCCCCTAAACCCTCTGACCCTTCCTGACGATATGAACCTCCTCAACCCCCTCCTCCCTGACTCGACCACATAATCCAGTACCCCACTAACTTTCCACCCTATCTTCTCTCCCACCATATCCAACTGACACCCTGCCTACTCGGCCATGCTGCCCACGTACTGCAGTCATTCATTAAAATTTTTCAAAGCTTTTGAATGAAGGCGCATCAGAATCCAGCAGCATAAAAGGGTTGTGGTGACTGATCTGCCTCCCCACCCATCAATTCGGCAAGATTAGAAGATGCCATGGACAAGTTAGACTGAAGAGTTTGTTTCCATGCTGTATGACTCTGATGGAAGATTTCTGTGCATTTCTGAAGAGACAGCATTCAGATGTGCTGGCCAGGATCATGAGGCTCCGTCATTTGGTGTGGAGTAGTCATCTGACAGCAATTGCTACTCTTTGGAACATTCAGCCCATTGGTTTCATACTAGATTGAACAACTTTCTTTTGAAATGTATGTGTAAAACATTTGAGCTGTGGTATCATAAACAATACAAGAAACCATATTAGATGTGTGGTAAATTCTAAATGTCACTGTGTTTTACTCACTAATATTTTATCGTGATAGATTATTGGAGTGAAAGTGATCAAGAGGATGCAGATACCCCATCAACCCCCAAGCAAGAGAGTCCACCACCTCCTTATGATACCTACCCCCGAGCACCTTCAGTGAGTTTACATTTGCATCTTTGTTATGTCTGGAACATCAGTTGCTTCAGCAAACTCTTGGTTGGTACTATCAGTCAGTTACAAATCTCCATTACTCACAGCAGAGATATCAAAGAAACTGGATGATGTCACAAAGAATAGAAAATACTTGGAAACCATGTTAATTTCCTATTTAATTGCATGCTCACATTCGGCAGAACCACAAAAAGTAATTTTGGCTTTCATTAGTGGACATCAGTGACTTAATGTTAATGTCACTGGACTGTAATCCAGAGCCCATGCGAATATTCGGGGGCACGTGTTCAAATCTCACCAAGGCAGATGGTGATATTTGAATTCAATAAAAATCTGGAATGAATAAAATCAACTATGTAATTGTTGTTGATTGTCTTTAAAAAATTGATTTATTAATCTCCTTTAAGGAATCCTGCCTAACATACTTGGCCTAAGCTTCATATGACCCCAGACCACACAGAAATGTGGTTGACTCTTAACTGCTCTCTGCACTGGCCTAGAGATCCAATCAGTTGAAGAGCAATTAGGGATGTGCAATTGCTCTTCAACTGGTCTTGCCAGCAACTTCCACATCCTGTATTAGAAGAAATATACACAGTTAGCAAGTGGATTCAAGTGGGCTGTCCACATTTTGGCAATTCAAGTTAATCAAGCTGTTATGAATAAATGCAGCAAACATTTTAGGAATATTGTGGTCAAAATGCTTATTTCAAAATCACTTACAAAAATTAGTAAATCCATGGGTATTGTATATCATATTGTTCATTAAGCCAAAAGATCCTAAAGAGAAATTGTCCCTCCCTTACAACAACTAAATTTGTAAATTTTCACTCTGAACAGCTTGACACTGAGAAAAACCAATAAGGTTATAATCATTGATTCAGTAATTGGTGTACTCAAACTTAAGGGATAACTTTAGTGATGTAATAATAATCTTCAACAGCAATAAAGATTCATTTTTTTAAGACATGGAAATGCTTTCATTTATATTTAATCCTACCCAGGCATGGGATGTTGCTGGCTAGGTCCGCATTTATTACCCATCCTGATTACTCTTGAAGTCATGAACATTAGCTCATTCTGAAAATTTTTTCCTTCTATTTTTAGGAAAATTTTATCTATATTTTTATGCTTTGACCTAAAAATTGGACCCAGTGTATATAAATTGTATTTCACATATTTCATATTTATTTCTTTATGTTCAAATTCTGATTTATGCTTTGCAATTGTCCATTTTCCAGAAGGGATCAACTATGTCATCTTCTTTTTATCTGAAAAGATGTTCCAAGATCAAATATTACAAGTGGTGATGAATCAAAGAATAGCACGGTCAAAAAATTGCTAGGTTATTAACATTAATCTGAAAAATGAAAGCTGTTATCGAGAATTGAGCAATGTGTCCTTATCCTGAACATTTTAATCGTGTGCAAAGCACCATCAATGTTTATATTTCATATTGACCATTATATCATTATTTTAAGGTGAACTGTGCTAGTCCATACCTTGAACCTAAGCATAACAGACTGTCATCTACGGAAACCTCTCATTCTCATTCATCCCATGAAGAATTCCGACCAGAACCTGCAGGAGGTACTGAGTCACCCGTTCGTAAACCAGGGGCTTGGGAACGGCGTTCATGGCAAGATCTAATAGAAACTCCACTGACCAGCTCAGGGCTGCACTATCTCCAGACTCTTCCTCTTGAGGATTCTGTGTTTTGTGAAGCAGGCTTACCAACACCAGAACATCGGAGGCAGTCAACTTTGCCAGCTCAAAGGTGCCAGATCCAGGATCACTATGGACCCTTCCCATTAGCAGAGGGTGAACGATGGCCTGGAATAAGTGGTGGTGGGGGTAAACCACGCAGTTTCACTCTACCTCGAGATGGTGGTTTCAGTCATTCCTGTCAAAACTCCACAATCTGCGTCCCTGGAGTTCAGGCTGAATTGGCTCAGAAACAAGAAATTGCGGAAGAAAAGCAAGAAGAAAATGGTAAGGAGCATGTACATTCCTTAACAGTTCAAATTAAAAAAGAAACACCATCCTATGATTCTCAACTGTTCGTCTAATTTTCAACTAGTGTAGGATTTTAAATTATGGAACTTTCAGCTAAATTATAGTCTTTAAAGTAAGAAAGATTAAATAGGATGCTAAATCAGCAAAGAATCTGATAGATTAAATTCAGAATTGAAATTTCATCGGATTGAGTGACAAAATCACATGAAGTAGATCACTTCCTCTACTCACACTGGTATATTTTAAGAAAAAAAATTGGGAGTCCCTTCTAGCAATTTTACAATTTAGCTACACATAATCTTTACAAAGCATTCTTTTATAAAATCAATAGATTATGATGGCTAATATGATGTATTACAGAAAATAATAGGCACATAAATTTAATTATTTCTTCAAAAACATTGAGGATAAATCAGAATAATTCAAAGGCTATAGTCATAGTCCACTTGTCGTCGCCATGTGGTGAGGCTTGAGGTAAAAAGGTATTGTCCACTCATTTGTTGATACGATTTCACTGTTTTGTATATGACTGCAATAAGTTGAGCACTTTAGAAAAGCTGGCAAGCATGGAGGGCTCTTGAAAGTATAGTGCTATGAAGGCATATGTTCACTGTAGCCGCAAAATTATTATGACTCTACTTCTTAAGTGATAAGGCTCTGAAATTGTTGTAATGAGCTATAACAAATACCTTCAGGAGTGAAGTTGATTCAATGATTTGTAAGCATCAAGTGTAAAAGTATTTACTTTGTCTTGGTTTTAGCCATTCTTTATAGACTCATACAGCACAGAAACAGGCCCTTCGGCTCACCATGCCCGATCAACAAACACCAAATGACATTAATCTCATTTACCTGCATTTGGTCCATAGCCTACCATGCCCTGGCATTTTAAGAACTCATTCAAATGCTTCTTAAATGTTGTGAGAATATCTGTCTCTGCCACTCTCTGAGGCAACACATCCCATATTTCTACCACACTCTGAGCGAAATAATTCTTTCTCGTATCTCCACTAAATCACTTCCTCCTCAACCTAAGCTTATGCCCTCTGGTCTTACACACGTTTGTGACGGGGAAAAGATTCTAACAATCTACTCTGTATATACCTCTCATAATTTTATATACCTCAATCACAATCCACCCTGAGCCTCTGCTCCAAGGAAAACAAAGCTAGCCTATCCAGTCTCTTCTCAGAACTGGGACTTTTCATTGCATGTAACATCCTGGCCGATCTCCTTTGCACCTTCTCCAGTAAAATCACATCCTTCAGATAGAGTGTTGACCAGAATCACACACAGCTTAGCCAATGTTTGATAAAGTTGTAACAAGACTTCCTTCCTCCTATATTCCATGCCTAGGTAATGAAGGCAAACATTCCATATGCATTCTTCACCACTCTGTCTACCTGTGCTGACACTTTCAGGGATTTATGGACTCGTGCACCAGGGTCTGTTTGTTCCTCAGTATTCCCTACGGACCAACCGTTCATTGTGTATGTCTTTCCCTTATTTCAAAATGCATCACCTTGCACTTATTGGGATTAAACTCCATCTGCCCAATTTACCAACTGATCCATTGGACTGAGCCTATCCTCCTCAGTATCAATACCACCACCAAGTTTAGTATCATCTGCCATCTTACTAATTAAACCTTCTATATTTACATCCAAGTCATTAATGTAAATAAGCAAGGGTTCCAGCACTGATCCCTGTGGTCCATCACTGGTCACTGGCTTCCAATTACACAAACACCCCTACACTATTACCCTTTGCCTACTCTTTGCAAGCCAATTTTGGATCCAATTTGCCAACTTGCCTTGGATCCCATGGGAATCGAGATCAGCCTTCCAGGTGGAACCTTGTCAAAAGCCTTACTGAAGTCCATATAAACCACATCAACTGCACTACCTTCATCAACATATTTAGTCACCTTTTCAAAAAACTTAAATTAGTCAGACAGGATCTCACTCTTATAAGTCCTTGCTGATTCTCCCTGATCAATCCCAACCTTTACAAACACAGATTAATCCTATCCTTCAGAATTTTATCCAAAGTTACCCAATCACTAAACATCAGACTAACTGTACAAAAAAAAACCTGAAAGAACTATGGATGCTGGAAATCAGAAACAAAACCAAAAACAGAAATTGCTGGCAAAACTCACAAAATTCCAAAGCAATGCAACAGTTTAAAAAAGCAGTAATTACTGCTCCTCAAATTCGAGGAAATCAGCTGTAACACTGAAAATACCTCAAAAAAGGAGCAGGTGTTACAGCCACAACTTTTTCCTGTCCTCCATTTTGGATTACCCAGAAGTCAAACAGTTAGGGCAGGCAGGAACAAAGCAGAGAATGACGTAGGATTGGTGTATCAAACTGCATTTATTTCAATGCAAGAGGCCTAACAGGTAAGGCAGATGAATTCTTGGCATGGTTGGGAACACGGGACTGGGACATATAGCAATTATGGAGACATGGCTCAGGAGTGGACAGGACTGGCAGCCTAATGCTCCAGGGTATAAAAGCTATAGGAAGGATAGAAAGGGGGGCGCAAGAGACAAGGGAGTGTGGTGTTTTTGATTACAAATAACATTATGGCTGTACTTCGGGAGGATATTCCTGAGAATACGTCCAGGGAACTTATTTGGCTAGAACTGAGAATTAAGAAAGGAATTGTACTATAGAACGCCCCCAAACAGTCAGTGGGAAATTGAGAAACAAATTTGTAAGGAGGTTTCAGTTATCTGTAAGAATAATAGGGTGGTTCTAGTAGGGGATTTTAACTTTCCAAACATAGACTGGGACTGCCATTGTGTTAAGGGCTTGGATGGAGATGAATTTGTTAAGTGCGTACAAAAATATTTTCTTATGCAGTATGTGGATGTACCTACTAGAGAAGGTGCAAAACATGACCTACTCTTAGGAAATAAAGGAGGGCAGTTGACTGAGGTGTCAGTTGGAGAGCATTTTGGGACCAGTGACCATAATTCTATTAGTTTTAAAACAGTGATGGAAAAGGATAGACCGGATGTAAAAGTTAAAGTTCTAGTTTGGAGGAAAGCCAATTTTGACAGTATTAAACAAGAACTTTCAAAAGTTGATTGGGGGTGGATGTTTGCAAGTAAAGGAATGACTGGAAAATGGGAAGCCTTCAAAAATGAGATAACGAGAGTCCAAAGACAGTATGTTCCTGATAGGGTGAAAGGCAAGGCTGGTAGAGGTAAGGAATTGTGGACGACGAGAGAAATTAAGGTTTTGGTTAAGAATAAGAAGGAAACATATGTCAGGTATAGACAGCAGAGATCAAATGAATCCCTATAAAGGCAGTAGAAATATACTTCAGAGGGAAATCAGGAGAGCAAAAAGGGGACATGAGATAGCTTTGACAAATGGAGTTAAGGAGAATCCAAAGGGATTCTACAAACACATTAAGAACAAATGGGTAACTAGGGAGAGAATGGGGTCCTTAAAGATCAGCAAAGCCACCTAAGAGTAGAACTGGGGGAGATACTAAATGAATATTTTGCATCAGTGTTTACAGTGGAGAAGGATTTGGAACATAGAGAACGTGGGGAAATAAATATCTGGATCAACTATTACATGGAGACTGCTTTTGAGGGGCTGAAATTCATGCCCAGTGGAATAAAGAAAGAAAATACACAATGAATTACAGTAATTCTATGAGTGCTACAGGGGAACTGGGCTTAGATGAGCTGCATACAAGGGAGGTTGATTTGATGTGTCTTAAAGTTTCGTACCAAATTCTTCCATTTCCCGCTGTTTTCTCTGAGCTACTATTGTTTTAGTTTTTCAAACTAATATTGTAAGCTTTTATTTCTGATAAAAAAAAGGTTATCAGACATTTGACTCTGATACAGTCTCACCAATCATTGCAGCCGTGAGAAATCGTCAACAGCTACACGTCTAATCGATCAGTGATTTAGTAATTATAGTGAAATAAATGCATATAGGCCTTTCTTATGTAGGAAATGATGGTGTGATAGACTTTGTGTCACAGTATTTATTCTAATTATCGTGCTCATTCAATAACGAACTTAAGAAATTCATAGCCTAACATTGGTGTGAATTGTATATCAAAACACAAAATAGCACAAAAAATATTCAATTCCTCATTGTAACATTTACGTACAGGATAATACCTTGACTCAAAAATGTTGATCCATTATCTGTGAAGAACTAGGGTTGACTTTTACATGAGATATATGAAAATTCCAGATTTTTTTACCAAAAAAATCCACCACTCGCCATATTTGGAACTACTTGACACTGCCAGGCTAGCCTGATATTGACCAGCATCCTGGTGCCAAAGCCATTTCTAAAAGGCCAACGTGCACCCAGACAAGTGCTGCAGCACTCACAGTTCCTGATATTTGCTGCCAGACTTGGCAGAGAAAGGGAAGTCAGTACTCCACCTTGTGAGCAGGGGCATGGTGGTCCTGCTGGATGGTGTGAATGCAAGTGGGACATGCTCTTGCCCCAGAACCAAAATGAGAGGGTATGACACTAGACAATGCCAATCAGGTGCCATGCCAGTGCTTCTCAGGAGGAATACGCAGCAATGTAGGAAGAAGAATGGGACGTTCCCTTATTGAAACATACAAGGTTCTCAGGGGACCTGACAGGATAGTTATCAAAATGTTGTTTCACCTTGTGTGAGATTCTCAGGCCACAGGCATCATCTCAGAAAGTTGCCCAACTAAGACAGAGATGGACAATATCTTCCCTCAGAAGGTAATGAATCAGTGGAATTCTTTGCCACAGAAGGCTGTGGGGACTCATGCATTAAATATATTCAAGGATGAGATAGAGTGATTTTTAATCAATAAGGGAATTGGGGTTTGTGGGTAAAAGGCAGGAGAGTGGAGCTGAGGATATCAGATCAGCCATGATCTCATTAAATGGTGGAGCACACTCAGTGGGCTGAATGGCCTGCTTCTGCTCCTCTCTATCTTAAGGTCAATAACCTTCTCCGCTCTGCCAGCGTAGGTGTCACCACGTTCTCCCCTGTACCTACACTCCAACCCTGCCACTGTGCC